TCAGTGCCAGCTGTTAGTTCACCTGCATTCTGTATGACTCTCATGTATTTGGAACACTGAGTTGAGCTCTGATGATGGCATTATTTGCATCACCAGAGGGCATTCCAGGGATACCTCTGAACATTGCTGTGTAGGTTGTACTTTTAAAAATGAAATATTTTACTAGAAGAAGAATATAAGCAGATTGTTATGTCTGTCTTCAAATGGTAAACACAGATATTGTAATATCAGTGGTTTTATTCCTTGTCACTTCATTGAACATAACTGCAGTTATGATGTTATAACTTACAGTAGTCATGTTTCAACTAAAAGAGGTGCCATTTCTGATCATTGGAGCTATTCAACAAGACTAAAGTGAGCCTGTGTAATATCTCAATGATTAAAGTGCTTACCAGGCAAGCAGAAGGACCTGGATTCAAGAGCTTAATTCCCACAGAACACACATAAAATGTGTAAGAGAAACAAAGTGGCAGAGTTGTATTAATCTTGGTGCTGACAAAACTGAGACAGAAAGATCCTAGGGTTCACTGGCCAACTGGCCTGTACCACTCATTATTTTTAGGATCATGAGAAGCTGACTCAAAAACCAAGGTGGACAATGTCTGTGGAATGACACCCCACACACATGTATGCAGTACACATAAAATGTCCATGTACACATGTGTGAGTACAAGCACATGTGACAACCTCAGTTGCCAGTCTCACATTCTACCTTCTTTCAGTCAGTTCATTTTGTTCTTTGCTACTGTGCTTGCCAGACTAGCTTGTCCACATAATTCCAGGGATGCTCTTGTCTCTACCTCCCATCTCTATAGGAATGTGCATTGCTGCATTTGGCCTAATGTGGGTTCCAGAAACTTCAACTCAGGTTCTCATGATTTGGACAAAAAAAATACCTATCAAAGCATCTCACTAGTCCAAAATTGAAGTTACTATGAAGCCAGTTGATGATCTGATTGCAAACAGATGTTATCCTGTCCCAACTGATTAATACAAAATAACCAAGCCAAACAAATAATATTATTCAAAAATGCTTAGACAATAGCTCAGGCTTGTTACTAACTAATTGTTACTCTTAAATTAATCAGTAACTCTTATCTCTGTTAAGCCATGTGTCTTTGTACCTTTTCTCAGTTCAACATTATCATCTTGCTTATCTCTGGTGGCTCTCTGTGTCTGCCCATCCTCTTCCCAAAATTCTACTAGTCTGACTCTCACATTCAATATCTTCCTGCCCAGCTAGCTATCAGTCAACCATCTTTTGATTAGCAAATGAGAGTAATAGTGTAGAAAGGGATTGTTTGGCAGCACCTGACACATGAATTGATGAAGAAAATAATTTACATTATTATCTGAAACCCATGTTGTGGTGAGGTCACTGAAAGATCAGAAAATGTTCAGCTTAATTTCACAAGCTTGGTTCATAAATTTCAAAAGAAAAAAGCCCTGTCTCCAGCAAAACTGCTAACTAGAAGTGCCAAACAAAACCACAATACTAATTCACCCTAGTCTGCCTACTATGAAACTGTGATCAACCAAGACAATCTTGACTTATGTGTCCCTCAATTTTACATTCTTGATTTTCCTGGAAGAGGTTGTAAAACAGGAAAGAATGTGTTTAGTAGGTGTATAGTCTGGACTTCACTTATTTACACGGTGGGAACTACACACCCAGAAGGTGCATGCTAAGATATTCACTATTGAACATCAAATACTTCCCCCAAACAGAAACAACTCCAACATGCAGCCTACTTTGCTATACTGATTTTAAACCTCTAATCACTGCTTCCACCCACATTGTGCTAAAAATAAAAAGAGGTTTTCTTATTGCTGTGGTGTAAAGGGTCAAATTATTAACTACCAATTTCTTTCCCAATTTGACAAACATAGTAACTATTGCTTTACCATTTCATTTTTTTTCCTTAGCAATTATATACATTTGCTGATGAGCTCAGTAGTGTTTTTATTGTGACTTCTAGATTGGTATTTATTCAATTATTTGTGGTTATTCAGGAAGTGACATGTGCATATTCAAACAATCTCATTATTCTTCCTATCTATACCAGCTCCACTACAATAAAATTAGCTCTTCAAAATCAGAAAACTAGGAATCCTTTCTACTTCTAACCCAATTTTTACTGACATTTGTTCTTTTCATAGATCTCTCTATATTCTCTTCGTCCACCAGTCTTAAGGCCACTATGGGGACCTTGGTCACCTCTTGCTTCACTTACTTCTTTGAACTCCTTCTTTATCCTGCCTCTGCACTCCCAACTCATGATTCATAGGTAATCCAAAAATAATCATTCCAAAATTGCAAGCCTTGTCATATTTATTGGTCATGAAATCTTTCAGAGATCTACATTGTCCTTAGGTAAGTTCAGAATTCTTTAACTTAGCATAAAAGTCTCCACATGATCTGATTTTTGCCACCTATTTGTTCTCACAGGCTTGAAACTCATTCCTCTCTTGCACCCACAAATCTGTTGTATCATTTCCATCCTCACTGAACTGGATAATACCAAGTTCTCTCAGTGAAGTCCAGTATCACTTTACCTAGAATGCACCTCGTGTCTTTGCACAACAGCAGAATCAAGTAACTCCTCATTTGGTTTTGGAGTTTGTATACTGTTATTACACCAATATTTATCAAAATGTGCTAGAGTTATTGCTTATGCTTCATTCCTCAGGTATGTATTCTTTAAAGTCAAGATTCTGCCTTATCCTTGGTTTTTCTTTTACCAAACAACTTGCACAGAGAATAAATTCCTCAATAACAGTAGATAATTTTGATCAATGACTCAGTAACAGACAGCACAGGTATTTGTGACACTTAAAAGCCGTGTGATGGTCAATATACTTACATATTTTCAGTGCCTAAGTTGCTTATCAGTAAAATGAGGACCCTAGTGCTTAGCAAACCTGCATAATAGTTAATGTTAAGATGAAATGAATTGTTCTGAAAACAGTATATAGAATATTGTCCAATATATAGGTTGTTCAAGGAGTACATGGTATCTAAGTACCTTTACTTTGCTAATATTCCATAATTATCAAGTCATATTTGGTTCTACTATGCAAGCATCCTGTTGCCCTTATGAAAAAATAGGCTTTGAATTATGGGGATACCGCCTCTTTCTACTTTCCTCACCTTTGCCAGGACTGTGAAGAGATGCTTGTCCCCAGAAGGGCTTCCACGTGAGCCTGGGTATTCCCAGTCCAGATCCAGCCCATCAAACCCATACTGGCGCAGGAATTTGATTACTGAAGTGATGAAGGTTTTGCGGTTCTGGGCAGTGGAGACCATGGTAGTGAAGCTGAGACAAACCAAAATGAGGCAGAATAAGATCTTGGCATTTTTTACACACAAGAATAAAAACAGTTTGCAGTACAAATTCTTCCTCGCTGTCCTTACCCAGGACCTGATTGAGAATTAAAGTACATTCCAGGGTTCTCTCTTTGCAATTATTACTCTTGCTAGTCACAGTATCTCTGAATCTACATTATCCTGTCATTCATCCCCACTCCCAACTTAGATGTTTTTAATTTTTTTTTGCAAATTGCCTTGTTGTTTTTCATGCCTAACTAACTTAGTTCACAGACAATTCTGTATCTTCAAATATGCTCCAAGTTCATTTGTATTCAAGTAAGTCTTGTTGGTATACCTGGTCTCTGTTTCCGTTCTCCGGAAGACAGACAAATAATATATACAACCTTCATCGGTCCTTGTGCCCTTTATATACTTTATGAAGAGGCTTCCTTAGAAGCAAGCAACTAAAACTCAGAAGATAGCATCCCAAAGCATCCATCAAAATTTATCCCTAGGAAAGTCACAATAGACATCCTAAAATTTTCTAATAAGAATTATGACTTTTTAATGGTACTTTATTAAGTTAGACCTTAATTTAATGAAGGTCCTTAATATCCATCTGGAGTTTTAAATCTAAAAGGACAAGGATCATGCTTGAACTACATCACTTTCAATGAACAATTGCTTATCTAAAGAGAACTTACGGGTAAGATCCAAAGTTCCAGCCTCCAATGGCCAAGAGGGTTTTCAAATTGCTATTCCTTTAAAGCAAAAAAAACAGAAAAATGTTTAAATTCATGGGTCCTGCCATTTAAAACAGGATTACTGTTTATAGTATTGTGTCTGCTGAAACTATGCAGAGTAGGGCTGATGTCGTACTGTCAGCTGAAGATTTATTTGAGGAATTTTTTTCCACTACTTAAACTTTATTATCACCATAAAAGAGGTCAGAGCCACTCAGAGAAATCAGATCTATACAACTCTTCAGTCTTATTGTCTTATACTAACAGTATTTGTACTACATATAACTTATAAGCATAAATACCTCCTTGCTGTTTCATCAGATAAAGTATTGAATAATTCCAAAGCATAATTACTTTAGAACACAATATAACAATGAATATAAGTTAATTGACTTGACTTTACAAACATAGATGGGAATAGTGGTGATAAAATGACTGTATCATAAGAATTAAGTGCAAGGGTAGTGAGAGAACATGAACACTCTAGTTTTATTTTCCTTTCCCCTAAGATTCTGATAATATTACTTTAGAGCAATGGTTCTCAACCTTCCTAGTGTTGTGACCCTTTAATACAGTTCCTCATGTTGGGGTGACACCCAAACATAAACTATTTCATTGCTACTTCATTGCTGTAGTATTGGTATTATAAACTGTAATGAAAATATCTGATATTTCTAATTGCCTCAAGAATGCTCCTCCATTGATGGTGGGAGTGCAAACTTGTACAACCACTTTGGGAAACAGTATGGCAATTTCTCAGAGAATAAGGAAATAATCTAGCTCAAGACCCAGCAATACCGTTGTTGGGGATATACCCAAAGGATGCCCAAGCATACCTAAAGAACATGTGATCAACTGTGTTCAAAGCAACACTTTCATAATAACCAGATCATGGAAACAACCTAGCTACCCCTCAACTGAAGAATTGATAAAGAAATTCTACATTTACACAATGGAGTACTGCACAACAGTAAAAAATAATGACATCTTGAAATATGCAGACAAATGGGTAGATCTAGAAAAAGTCCTATTGAGTGAGGTCAACCAGGCCCAGAAAGACAAACATAATATGTTCTCACTAAATAAGTAGATTTTAGACAGAAAGGAAAGAAAAACCAGCCTACAGTCCACAACCCCAGAGAACCTAGATAACGAAGGGGACCACCAAGAAAGGCATACAAGGATCTGTATAGGAAGGAGAAAAAGGCAAGATCTCCTGAATAACTTGGTCACATGGAGGTCAAGAAAGAGGATAGAAGTGGGGGAGAAAGTGAAGGGAGTGAAGAAAAAATGTATAGCTCAAGAAAAACAATGAAAAGGAAACCTGTGAAATGGTCGTTCAACCATCAAAGGAATAGCAACCCACAGGTTGAGAACCTGTTTTAGGGTGACATTAGACCGACATTTTTATCAAGAGATCCATACAATTTGGATGCAAATAACCAATGACTGGAGAAGATGCTCAGCCATTATGAGTGCATGTTGCTATTGTAGTGAATTAAAGTCTAGTTTGCAAGCACTCACATCAGGTGACTCCCAACTTAATTAACTATCTGTAATTCCAACTCCTGGAGATGCAATGTCAACTTTTGAACTCCCAAATACACATGAACTTGGTTACACAAAGACGCACACATGCACATATAAAAGTAAAATTAAAAACTTCAAAGAAAACTATCAAAGTACAGCAAACCCTTCTATTCTTAGCTTCAAACATTTCTAATCTTAAAATCCTCTGTTCCTTGTTTCTTCTTTCAGGGTGTCAAGATGATTTTTCAGATTCCTGTGTCATTACACAAAGACAGAAAAATAAAGTAAATCATCAAACACACATTTTTAAATTTTTTTATTAACTTAACTTAATTTTATTTTATTTAAAATAATTTAATATTTTAATGTAATACATATATATTAATGCTGACTTCAATGGGCAATCTGAAAAGTTATCTACATCTTTGGTACTTGAAGTGAAGCTCCTGGACCAGAAGCATCACCCTAATGTATCAGAGCTTAAAAGATGTAGTAATGTCCACAAACAGAAATTATTTGACTCCTCCCCCTTACCATATTAAAAAATATGTAACGTGCATTGATGAACTAAATATAAAACTCAAAACTATAAAACTATTAGAAGAAATATAGGGAACATGGATAGGGGTCCATGATAGATTCACTAAGCAGTAATCTCTTTGTGGTTGGGGAGTGAGGAGTTCTTATGACTGGAATGGCTACATTGTGACTGCTACATGGGTAGGAACTGCAATATGAACACAAGAGTTACATAAAGTTAAAGCTACTCCACTACAAGGGAATAAAGGAATTAGGAAAAGGACACAACATGTGCATCGTATGGATGGCGCTAGAAAAATCACACTGAGTTAGGTAACCCAAACCCACAAAGACAAATATCGGACTTATTTACTTAGAAAGGGATATTAGCAATTAAGTAAATGATAACCATGCTACAGCCCATATACCCACAGAGGCTATGTAAAGAAGAAGTTTCTATGGTAGATGCAGGCATCTGCCTGGAGGGGAAACAGAATAGGTTTTGTGGACAGGTTAAGGTTGAAGATGGGAGGGGGGAAATCATGTAAGAGAGAGGTGGGATAGAGAGTGAGCGTGTGGATAGAGACAAATGTGTTGCAAAATAGTTGATTACTCTGTGTAAAGATATGTCACTGTGACTGGTTTAATATAAAACTAAGTAACCAATAACCAAGTATGATTTTCAGGGCAGAGAGAATGCTGGAAAGAAGAAGGGTGGAGTTGCCAGTCAGACACAGAGGAAGCAGATGATGAGGGAGATGAGGTAACAAGCCATGAGCTATGTGGCAGAGTATAAATTAAAAGAACTGGTTAGCTTAAGTTCTAAGAGCTAGTTAGAAACAAGCCTAAGCTTTTGACCAAGATTTTATAATTAATAGGTCTCAGTTTTGGCCCTGAAGAGCTGGCTACTGAGACAGAAAAGTCAAATTACAAATGGTTCCCAATGTCTGGGCATGTATTTCCACATAAGACCTAATAAAGCTTTAAAAATAGGTTCCAAACATACACACACAAAATAAAACAATAGAGACAAACATGGTTTTGTAGTCCCACAGTCTCTCATATAAGATGCATCTCCTGGCCATAGCTTGTGGCCTTGAACTCCCAGCTCGCCATGAACTAAGCTGTGTGACAGTTTAAAATTTTGCTCATGCAGACAAAAAGGTTATACATACAGAGTAAAGCAGGTTCTTACAGAAAAACCTCAAAACAGGTTACAGTGTGTTATAAAATATGCATAGGGTTGAGAAAGAAAAGAAAATGCATATAGACAGTCATAGAAAAGGGAAGTTGTTTATAAATAATCAAAAACATTAATCCACATAGAGATGGCAAATTCACAGGGATTTTGAATCCAGTATGGTAATGTATTGACATTAAATTTTTTGAGTGATGATGGGCAAATAATAACTGTTGAGAGACATTGATTATAAAAACTGCTAAATTAAACTCATGTATATATTTTTAAAATGCATTAACTTCAAAATAAAAGTCCAAATTATATGTTACATTGAGGAAGAGGTTATGTTTTTGTATTCACAAAAAAATGAAAGGGTGTAGGATCATTCAAGGTTGATAGAGATTAGATTGGATCAGGAAAGAACCCCTGAAAGCTCTAGTTATAGACATAAAGAAATAAACCTAAAATAACAAGACAGGTGACATATTTTACCTGCTCAGACATGAACAAAAGCATCATCTTTGACTGGCTTGTGTATAATACACAGTCCATACTTGTGTTAATGTAGATATGTGTGTTAACTTTAAAAATTTATATGTTTTCAGAGTAAGAAATGGGGTTGGTGCACTTTTGTCATTCTGTAGATTATGAATTTTTGTCATTGTTTGGAAGTATTGGTTAAATATTGTGATTGGTCATAGGGAAAAAACTGATAAAAGGGAGATTAGACTCAGGAATCTCTTTATGAAGAGAAAAATGGGATTTAGACTATAAAACTAATAAATAGAAGGGTGGATTGTTGAATTTATTTTTGAACACCCCACTTTCAATATTTCACATTGATATGGATTTTTGTTCATAGATGCAAATCTAAAGTCATTTTTCTTGATATATGCAGCACATGTTTCTCCTCCTCTTTAAGATATCATGCCTATGCAGATCATTTAACAACCTAATGTAAATTTATAGTCCTTGAAACTTATGACTATAAATTATTTAAGTAAATAAACAAATGCAGGTTAATAGTTAGTCACCTGTAACAAGCAACCGTGTATCCATGTAAAGTATGCTTTCAAAGCAAAACAGAAAAGTTTTAAAGAGATAGATGGTCTTCAAACACTTCAAAGATCTACAGCATACAGAATTTAAAATATTTTGTTAACATAGTATTTCTCATGACAGTGAGGCACATCTGCTCCTGGAAGCACCAGTTTACTTGAGAGAAGAAAAATGACATCAAAGAAACTCCACACAGAGTTTGATTTTAATATGGCAAAGAGCCATGTGGCAACATGCAAATCGATAGAAATGGGTTAGTTTAAGATCTAGGAGCTAGTTAAATACCAGCCTAAGCTATTTACTGAGCTTGCATAATTAAGAAAGTTTCCATGTCCTGCATTAGGACCTGACTAGTAGAAGAGAAAAAGTCCCAACTACACAGTTAGAATGGGGAGGGGAATTTGGTGTTGTTGAGTAGAAACCTAATAAAATGGAAATTTTCTCAAATCTGTAAAGGTGACCCTCATGAGGATTACTAATAATGGGGAATATGATACCTCGAATGTTCACCACTTTTAGTCAGGTAAGGAATTCAGTGGTAGGACCAGTTACATTCATTGAGTTGTTGGCCAAGTGTATCCTATGAAAATCCCCAAATGCCCCCAGGATGTTGCTAAAACAAAAGGCCACTCTCAACAAACTAACAGTGGGAACCCATTGCCAAGGAAAACATCCACACATCTCATCGAACCTGGAGAAGTTGAGCTGGTGCCCACATGTAACCTTCAACCCTGTGTTCCTATTCTCTTTGGTGTGGGAAAGTACTTTGCAGGCTACTGAAACACAAACATGGACACCAACCCAGGCACAAAATCTTCAACCTACAATCTGTCCTGATACAAAATATGTTAGGACAATGGTGGCACAGAATTTCTGCAAGAAGCGAACCAATGTCTGATTTGACCTAAGGCCCACTCCACAAAAAGGAACTCATGCCTGATACTTCTAGGGTGGCCAGGAATGAGCAAATAGATAGCCCAAAGAACGAGGGTAAAGCAAAACACTACTGATCTATAAATAAAGAAATAAATACAAATAAAATGACTCCCAATAGTATTCTGCTATAGTCATAGAGCTTATCCAATCATCATCAAGAAGACTTCTTCTGGCAGCAGATGGGAACAGAGTCAGAGACACACAGTCAGACATTATACATTGAGAGAGTGTAACTGAGAGGTCTCCATCAAGTCCTTCCCCTCTGAGCTCAGGGAATGCTTACCAAATAAGAGGCAGATTCATTTTACTTTGTTTTGTTTTTTAAACAGAGTTTTTCTGTGTAGCTTTGGCTATTCTGTATTCATTCTGTAGTCCATGCTGGTCTTGAGCTCACAGAGATCTAACTGAACCTGCCTGCTGAATGCTGGGATTAAAGACATGTGCCATCACCACCAGGCTGGCAGAAAGGTTCTAAGATCAAGAGGAGATAGAAGACACCAGAAGACCAAAAACTTCTGAATCAACTAAACAAGTACATATAAGCTCATAGGGTCTGAAAAAGCAATCACATGGTATACAGTGGTCAGGAACAAGTTCTCTTCATATATATTATAACTGTTAGTTTAGTATATTATGGTACTCCTCACTGTAAAAGCAAATGGAGCTGTGATTCTTGAGACTGTGCTTCATACTCTTTACCTATTGTTGGTTTTCCATGTCCAACTTCAATATGGTAGTTTTATCTTATTCTTGCCATGTTTAATTATTATTTCTTAGAAGTCTTTTCTTTTCTAATGAAAGACAGAAAAGGAATAGATCTTTCAGGAAAGGGAAGTAGGGAAGAATGGGAGGAGAAAAGGAAGGGGAAATTGTAATCTTGATATATTGTATGATAAGAGAATCTATCTTCAATAAAAGAAAAATATCTTTATATATAATATGTAATCTAATATATATATATAATCTCTATAGTAGTAGGTTTCCATATGATTTGTCAAAAAGCCTTTAGTGTAGGTTGTCACTCCCCTTATTCTCTCCTTTATTCAGCACAATATCCCTTCCCCGACTTAATCTTCCTAATCTATTTTCCTTTTATCTCTTTATAAAACTATATTTTGTTTTCTGTTTTAGAAGAGTGTATCCTCTTGCCTGATCCCTTCTTAATTACCTACATTCTGTGGTTATACAGATAAAGCACACATATGCAAAGCTTAAAGTCAAACATCCACATATATGAAAAAATACGTGATGATTTTCCTTTGGGTACGGGTTACCTTGCTCAGGATGATAGCTTATAATTCCATCCATTTACCTGCAAATTTCATTTTCTTGACAGTTGAATAATACTATATTGTATACTATATTGTATAAATGTGTCATGTTTTCATTATCTACTCATCAGCTAATTAGGCTGTTTCCCATTTCTGGCTATTATGAATAGTACAGCAATGACCATGGATAAGCAAGTATCTCTATAGTAAGATGTAGAATTCACTGAGTATATACCCATGACTGGATCATGAAGTAGATTGATTATCAGCTTAATACAGAGGAGAAAACATCTGCAAACTAATTGTCTTGCTAGGAATGCTATCTCAAATATATGAAGAACTCATCACAATTTCAAGGAAACAACCTAATTGTGAAAGGGAGAAGACCTTGAATAGATGTTTTCAAAAAATAATTTAAATGTCCTAAAGATATATAAAAATAGTTGGCAAATTACTAATCAGAAAAAATGTAAACTAAAACATTATTGAGAGTGGATTTCATCAAAAACAGAATAGATAAGCCATATTGTCAATGATAGCACTTCAATATTTATTGTAGCATTATTCTTAGTTATTTAAGATACATAATCACTGGAAATGTCTAGAAAAAAATGAAACTTTAAAAACCATGTGCTATGATATGCAATTAAATATGTTATTCAATATTTAAAAGAATAAAATCTGCCGTTTGGAACAAAATTTCTAATTTTGAAGATGTGTTACCCAAAATTAAAAATTAAAGGCATAGATTAACAAATAATACAACATCTAACTTATAAGCAGAATCTAAAATATGTGAACTCAGAGAAGATGGCAGAATTATAGTTTATGTTTTCATTGAAAATAGATTTCATCTCATACAATATACCCTGATTATTATTTCTCCCCCCTCAACAACTCCCACTCTTTCACCTCTACTCTTCTTTCTGTATTCAATCCCTTTCTTACTATTATTAGAAAACAATAGGCTTCTAAAAGATAGCTAAACATGACAAAATAAAATATAATTAAATGAAGCAAAAATGATCATATTAAAGTTATAATGTTTAAGCAGAGAAAGAAAGGATTAAAGAGATGTTGGTCAGCAATACAAACTTTGAGTGAGATAGAATGAGTTCAGAGCTTATCTACAATTCATAGCATTGTATCATATTTTGAAAACCATTTGTATCAACAAAAAATCAAAAGAACCTGTCTGTCCACAGGTTCTTGGTCCTGACAATAATGCTTTTATGACTTTTATCATGTGGACCAGGCCATAAATCAAATAGAGAAATATTATAGAAGAGGGGGTAGGAAAAAACAGAAACAGTGGGCTAAGATACGTTGTTTTTCAGAAACAACAGGGAAGTTGCACATATGAATACACTTCACTGCAGGTAGAACAGCCTGCATATGTCATCCAAGATCTCAAGCCAGACTAAATACCATCATGGAAAGGGAGGGGGTGCATAAGGTCACATCTCTAACAGAAGCACTTGTTCTAACAGAACCAAATGATAGGTTCTGGGAGAGTGGTATGATTCCTTGTAGGCAAGCATTATTCCAGAAATTCCCACACACTCAAAAATATATACACAGCACAAATTAGACTACGTGAGTTTAAAACAAAGATGAAGACAATAAGGTTCAATAGGTAAAGAAAAATAGAGCATCTGAGGAATATTGACAAGGTAGTAGTATGATTTGAAAACATTAGACAAATTCTAAAAATTAATTTTTAAAAGTAAAATGATAATAAGAGAGAGAGAGAGAGAGAGAGTAGACATTGACTTGTGATATTCAGTTTTGAGTAATATCTTCAAAGGAACTAGGTCTTGGCGACAACTTGTTCAAATGATACTGTTTTAGATGTTTACCCGTTTCTTTTACCTGTTTTTGAGGCCATTGAAAGCTTTGTAGAGCTCAACATCATTCCATTCTATGGTGGTGATCTCATTGTTCTGCATCCCAGCAAAAGCATAGATCAGGTGAGTACACAGGCAAGGGTCGATGTTATCAGGTGTGAAACGCCCTAGGCCTGGCCGATACTGGGCCCAGTTGGAGAAGTAGCATACCAGTTTATAGGCAGACCCTGTGGTGGTCAAAAATAGAGATGATGGTACAGTATAGATATCACTGAACTATGATGAACATTTGGGCTTTGCTTAGCACCCCCCACCCACCTCATAAGCCTGATCTCCAGCTGGAGGTGACCAGTTGAGCACGTCTACAGATGAGTTAAGAAATTGTATATATTCTCTTTGAGAGATTGGAAAATATTAGAGTTCTTCTAAGACAGAATACTCATAGTTCTTCGAGTCCAGTGGTCCCACGAATCTCAGTGAATGATAATTTAAGAACCCTTATGTGATCAATCTATAGAGGATAGTAGTAACTACTGAGCTAAAAGTCTACTCCTCCACAAAACAAACCCATCTCTCTCTTTCTACTACGTTTCATGTCTTGTTTTATTTTCCAAATAGAGTAACACTGAGGTGATGCTGGATATTTGTACACTGTCTGAAGTTGTGTCACTGTGATTGTATTAATAAAAAATCTGAATGGCCAAACACTAGACAGGAGAGAAAAGACAGGAATTCTGGGCAGAAGGAGAAACTCAGGCAGTTAGAATCTACCTGCAAGAGTGACGCCGGTGAGTTGAGGAATGGGTCAGGCATACAGCAGGGGAGACAGGTAAAAGCCACATAGTAGAATGTAGATGAATAAAAACAGGTTAATTTTAGTTATAGAATTAGTTGGTAACAGGCCTAAGCTAAAAGCCAGGCTCCCATAATTATTAATAAGTCTCAGTATCAATATTGAAGAGCTGGTGGTCACACAGAGACAAAAATCTGACTTTACCCGGGTATATTTTTAATTATATTAATCAGACAATTGTTTTATGTAAATGTGGGAGTTTGAGTTTCATGGGATGTAATCATTTTGTAACCAATAAAACATGGAATTGTGACTTACCCAGATAAGCATTCAGCAGAAGGGCCAGACCTAGTGAGAGAAAATACACATTTGTTCTGAACCAGCTGTCTGAATCCTCTCAAAATATAACTCTAGAGTCTTATGATTCAATCCATTTGCCATGTGTTGTGACTTGTGTGAAAGGGCATCTTTTCAGTAAACATTCTTTGATCTACACTTTACAGTTTGTCAAAAAAAAAAAAGCTTTACCTTTTTCTCCATTCTGGGTCATAATTTTTGGAAGTATGAAGTCTACTATCTACAAAGCAGGGCTGACTGAAATTGTTCTAAATACACTGCACTCAGTGAACATTCATCAAATGTGTCTCATTTCCAGAGTTGATATGAGCTCAGGACTTCAACATATAAGACATCCTCCACAGCAGTGAGTCGAGCAGCAGGAATATGTTAGCAGCATCTTCAGAGAAGTTTTGCTAGAGAATGTGTGATGCAAGCCTCCAGAAGCTGCTCCTTGGCTTCAATAGAGCGCATTCTTTTAGGATCATCTCACCCTACTGCCCAATCTGGCCTTGACATGGAGAACCTCCTGCCTGTGTCACCTGCGTACTGGAACCACAAGCCTGAACACTGTCAAGAGAAGTGGGCCACTGCTTCTTTATATGTTGGACTTCAGTACCTTTGAAAAGTCTTTGAAGAAAAATAAAAGTTTCTAAAGCACAAATGTAAAGGAGATAGCAAGTTTTAAATGTGAACTGGACCTAAACAACTACATAATCTACCAGTTGGATTGAATGTCTCAGAGGGACACGTATGTCATCATCACCTAACCAGGACCATAAAGAATAGATAAGAAATAATCCTGCAGAAAGCAGAGCAAAGACAACATGCATGACTCTATGTGGATTCCTGTGGACTTTACCTCCAAAGGAGTTAGTTGCAGAGCATGAAGAAATAAATGAGCATAATATCATTTAAGACAAGTTGTGCAGGAAGATAAGTGCAGAGAAAAGAATGACTGGATGGGACAGGAAAGAGAAAGACAAGTATTGAAAGACAGTGAGACTTGCTTTTGTAGCTATGCTTTGAGAACAAGAGAAAGACTCATTGCATGAAGGAAGAATGCTTACAGTGAGAAGAAACGAAGGAAAAGTATAGAGGTGTAGTGTAATGACTCTTTCATGGTTGCAAGATCCCGAGAAAGACCGACACAAGGCAAGGCTACAGACTCACTCACCAGCGACAAGAATGAGCTTGGCCATGGTGCCTTCAATACTGCTCAAGCAGGCCGTGAATGGCTTATTATACCATCTGGGTGGCTACTTATCACAAGGGTTTCTCAATGGACAGTGTTTATCCAAGATGTGTACATGACTAATCATTAAATTCACAGATCTCCTCATCAGATTTGGTTGCTTAATTCTGTCATCAATGCCATCACCTTTCCTTCCTCGTGTCAAATAAATACCACCATGTCTCCTTAGGACATCCATTAAATGTGACCTTTAGACTTAATACCTTTGTTGGCACTTCCCAGTGTGGACAAACACCTGTTCATATACTAAAGTTAAGTTTTATTTTGTGGACATTTTGTACCTGGCACTAAAGAAGAATCTTATTGCAAAGTAAACACTGGAAATCTTTGGAAATTACTGCTGTTTTTAAAATCTCTATTTTATGGAACTTCCACATGTAAAATGCAAAGTAAGTACCTGGAGAACTTTTCCTCTTTGGGGGATGCTTCCTAAATATTCTGCCTGTATCTGTTCTTAGAAGTGACTTCCAGTTATAACTATAAGAATAATTGGTTTAAGACTCTAGGAATTCAAAATTAATTCTGATTGACCAATCTTAGTCAATTTCTTCTTTAGCCAAGATGTATTCACTAGTCCCAAAATGACAATAATTTATAACTATAAATAAATAAAAGGCAGTTTGGCACCATTTTCATTTTGCAAAACAATAGAAATATGTTCTCCAAGCTCTTGAGTAGATATATTTAAAGCACTAGACATAAATTCCCTCTGGCAAACAGCCCTCATATCCAACCACAAAGCTTTTGGTTACCACCATATCAGTTATTTCACTACTCTACCAATAAGAGCATCTTGCCTGACAGATCAGTATTATAGTGCACATTATCTACTACCTTGGTTCTTCTTCACCAGAAGCCTGCAGAGCACCTTCCACAACATGAAATATGAAAGCTTTCACATGAGTTTCAACTTGATTTTTCCATGTCTAACTATCTAGTTTCTTCAGCAATATGATCTGACTATCTAGTTCCTTCAACATTAGAGTCTAAATATCTAGCTTTTTTCAGCAAGGGTCTAACTATCTAGTGCCTTCAGCAATAGGGTCTAACTATTTAGTGCCTTCAGCAATAGGGTCTAACTATTTAGTGCTTTCAGCAATAGGGTCTAACTATACAGTTTATTCAGCAATAGGGTCTAGTTCTTTCAGAAATAAGGTCTAACTATTCAAGAGCAATTGTAACAACATTGTTTGGGGAGCTATAAGGACCTTCCTAAATAACAACTATATGCAGGTATCCCATGCTTAGCACTGGGATTTTTGTTTATATAACTATGGCTTCTGGAAGCATCATCCAAACACACAGGATACCTGATTTAAAACTCTGTCTTTAAAATATTAGTTTACAAAGTAAGATTTTTTTCTATGTGGTTTGTCAAACATTCTAAATCTTGCTTCATATTCCTCTCCTATGCACATCCCCCACAAACACACACATTATATTCTTATGCTCCTGACCCACATGATCCTAGTTTAAACCTTTACACTTGCAGAATTTCTCTCTCTCCTTCTGTAATACATGTGTTCTACAATATGTGCTTATCTACTTCTAAGGACTCTTCCCAACCATGAGAGGCCCTTTAGAGCTTCCTGACCTCTATAGACATTCATGTTAAAAGAACAAATATAAAAATCCAAAGCTAGTAGAAGAAAACAGGAGGCATTCATGATTCTGGGCCTAGGTTAACTATGTTGTTTTCCAGTTTCATGCATTTTTCTACAAATACTCCATTATATGCACCACATATTTATTATCCATTCATCAGCTGGTGGACATCTAGGCTGATTTCATTTCCAACCTTCTTGAGATAAAGAAATAATGAAAGTGAGCATGTCTCTACAGTACGACTGAATCATTTGTGTATATGTTTCATGGTGGGGTTGGGTTGTATCATAGTTCTGCTTCTATCTTTTTTGGAAATCTACTTATTGAGTTCTATTGTGTCTGAACCATACCAAAACTATATAATGGTTCCTCTTTGTCCACATTTTATTCAGGATTTCTTGTCATTTGTTTTCTATATAAAAGACATGGTAAGTATGGTGAGATGGATTCTCAAAATAGTGCTTTTCTTTAATTTTGAGAAATTATATTATTACATCATTTTCACCTTCCCCTCTGTTCTTCAAATCTTCCTATATATCCTTCCTTGCTCTCTTTAAGATGTACTCTTTTTTATTAATTGCTGCATAGCATATATGTGTGTGTTTGTGTGTGTATGTAAAATCATATGCATTCCTAAGTATAACCTGCTCAGTCTATATAATGCAATTTTAAGTATGCTTTCAGTACTGATTATTTGGCATGTAAATAATTGGTGGGCTTTTCCCTAGAGAAGACTATTCCTCCTACTTTTAGTATCCCTTGTCTGTAGTGATTTATGTTGTTTAGAGGTACCATAGACTTTTGCCTTTCCACTTTAGCATGTCCATTGTTATTGTCCTAGTTCAACTCATGTTTTGGCCATCATGTAAGTAAGACTGTAGATGTAAATTCTGGCATTACTAGAAGACAAAGTCTCGCAGTAAACCACTTGATCCACTGGCTCTTAAAATCCTTCCACCAACTCTTCTGAAATGTTCCCTGAACCTTGGGTTCAGGAATTTTTCATAGGTATTTCCATTGAGTATAGTATCCATAACTACATTTTAATTGATTGTAGACTTCTGTAATGGGCTTTGTGTGTTGCAAAGAAAACTTTCTGTGTTAAAGGGTCAGAACTACACTTATCTGTGGGTACAAGAACAAATACTCAGAGTGCAGTTAGGAATTTACTGATTAGTGAAGTGTTTGTTGAAGTTTCAAGCCTGGGTCCTCTCCCCTGGAGAGACCTTGCGCCCTTCTCCTCCTCCTTCCCCCTCACTGTCTCTCTCTGTTTCTCTCTCATTGACACTCTATGTTCTTCCCCCTTCTCCCCTTACCCTTTCTCCTCCTTCCTTCCATACAACACTAAATAGATATCCAACCTCACTCTGCATGGCATGCCTATCCATGTCTCTGTCTCTTGCCTGCCACGTGGTTTTCTGCCTGGGACCAACCACCTTTAGAGACCTGTGACGTGGTCTCATGGCTTGCCAATCTGTCTACCTCTCCTTGTGGAACTGGTTGCCCAATCAAGGTTTCTCACTCACCATGCAGCTCCTCTCCTGGACTTGTGGCCAACTGCAGCCACTTGGGGAACTGCACCGTCCTTGCCTTGGACTGGCTGCTCTTGGGACCTGCTGCTCACTGCCACAGTTTGGGGACCTGCAGTGTTTATACTTTATTATTACATTGAAGCTATTAGACTTGGGAGGCTCTCCCACCCCAAGCCCCTCTTCCTGGGTCAGGATCTAGAACCAAGTATTTTTTCTTTTTACAACAACCACATGTTCCATATGCCTGAGTATGATTTCTATGCACACCACGGACTTCAGTTGGTGAGTTTCCCCCATTCTGGTCAGCTTAACCATTTCTCCAAACCCAAGATATTGACCATTGAGCTCCTGGAAATTTTCTGATGTTCCTAGAAATGGGGAGAGAGCCCCCAACCATGGTCTTTAAGGCTACGGTTGAGCCCTTCATTGACATTCATCTCTAGATTGCTTCCCTTAGCTAAAATTGTGTTTGGACAGCCTGGGGCTGGTCCTGCCACAATTGGGGGCCCAGGGTCCCACGGATTTTTCTTTCTATTCTGTCCCAGCTGTAGTGGGAGACATCCCGTTAAAGACCTTGTGGTGTCACCATTGTAAGTGGGTTTTCACGCTTTCAGCTATAGGTAGAAATTCATCCATGTCAGTCAATCCAGCCTCCCTCTGGGATGGATGACTTTTAAAGCCCTAAATCTCCAGGCTTTAATGTCCTGCTTTTTCAGCTCCTACCCTCACTCTGCCAGTTTCCTACTCACTCCACTTTTGTGGGAGCTTTCTAACTATTGTCAGCGCAAAGACAAATGGAAAGAGTTTCCTCAAACTGTCCCTGCCTTCGTGACTGCCGCCAACAAGATTGGTTGGATCCACAAGGCAGCTGTTTTCAATTCCAGCCTTTTGCTTTCTGCTACAGCGTGTGGCATGGTGGCTAAGGGACAAGACAGATCATGCCTCTAGGTCTCTCTTATTATTAAACTTAAAATCCCTGCAGCTCAAAAATTGTGGCTTCTCCTTACAATATGTAACCGCTGCCATTTTGACTGAGGTCAGGTGGCCTTACCACCATCATTTTTTTTATTTCTTTTTTTATTGACTTTTATTGAGCTCTACATTTTTTTTCTCTACTCCCCTCGCTATCATTCCCCTTCCCCCTCCAACCCTCTTGTAAGGTCCCCATACTCCCAATTTACTCGGGAGATCTTGTCTTTTTCACTTTCCATGAAGAATACATCTATGTAAGTCTCTCTTGGTGTCCTCATTGTTGTCTAAGTTCTCTGAGATTGTGTTTTGAAGGCTGGTTTTCTTTGCTTTATGTTTAAAAACACCTATGAGTGAGTACATGTGATAATTGTCTCTCTGTGTCTGGCTTACCTCACTCAAAATAATGTTTTTTAGCTCCATCCATTTTCCTGCAAAATTCAAGATTTTTTTTTTCTGTGTCATACTTCATTCTGTAAATGTACCACATTTTCCTTATCCATTCTTCAGTCGAGGGGCATTTAGGTTGTTTTCAGGTTCTGGCTATGACAAACAATGCTGCAATGAACACAGTTGAGCACATGTCCTTGTGGCACAATTGAGCATTCTTTGGATATATACTCAAAAGTGGTATTATTGGGTCTTGAGGAAGATTGTTTCCTAATTTTCGGAGAAATCGCCACACTGACATCCACAGGGGAAGTACCAGCTTCCCACCAGCAACGCAGAAGTGTTTGCTTTTCCCCCACAACCTCTCCAGCCTCCCCACAGATACTGGTGGTGTGTCGAAGACAGGGGTGTGGTTATCCAGTCTAAGCCCTGTCAACCCCTTCCACTTCTC